TTTTAAAGAGTAACAATCTTGCTGCCACGTTTCCTAATGTAGAGATCGCGTTAAGAATTTTCTTGTGCTTATTGATCACCAACGCCAGTGGTGAACGATCATTCTCCAAACTTAAATTGACCAAAAACGAACTGAGGAATAGCATGAGCCTGGAGAAACTCAAATGGTTGTCGCTTATGAGTATAGAGCACGATGTCCTTAGAGATTTAGATTTCAAAGATGTAATCGAGGAGTTCGCCATTCGAAAGGCCCAAAAAAAACCTGTGTATTGAATAAAATGTTGTAAAAAATATTTGTAACTCGTGTTGTTGTAAAAAACATTTTTTATGGGGAGGGGGGAGGGGCCCCTAACGGTGACTGGCTCAGGGCCCCGGAAAACCTAAAAACGGCACTGCTGAAGCTTAAAATAGTTATATATCTTACGCTTGAGAAAGCGTATAGTGAAAATCATACAATAACCTGTATTAATGAGTTTTTTATAGATTTAAAAGTTATTCTTCGTACCCACCACGTACCGTTGATCGCATCCAAAACATTACATTTTCGGTACCTATTTTCGTCATGTTTGAGATGACTAATAAGTAATGACTAATGCCAAACCGTGCTTTGGACAACAACAACATATAAGAAGAAAAAATGAAGTGACTTTCGAAACTTGTCATAGAACAGAACCACAGAATACTAAGCAGAACGAGATCAGTCATTGTAGAAAAGGAAAACCCACTCCGGAGAACCGTCACTAATCGTTTAGTTGATAGTCTATATCTACAGTGTGACCCATTTTTAATGGAAACACCCTCCTAAAATTTGAAGTTGTAAACCGATTTTAATATTTTTTTTTTAAATGTCAAGTGCTAAAAGGTCTACCTTGGGACAAAATTTGAAATGTTTATTAAAATTTCAGGGCATACTACGGTATTTTTTAATTAAAATCATGTAGTTACCGCAATTCGATAAAATACACTCAAAACCTATTGCAATATACTCAAAACTTATTTCATGTTGGGGTATTCATGATAAAAAAGTAAGCAAAAAGCATGGCAATGTTCTTTCTAGATGTTATCCTTTAAAAAACTGTAAATAATTTTCGTGGCAACGTTAGTTTAAACATGTTTAGTATGTTACAACATTAGTTGTCAGTATTTTAATTTAAATTTGAAGTTCGTTAACTTCAAGTCTGACAAATGGTTAGATTAATTAAAATGCATAAAATAACAGTTTTGCAAATGACTGGTAGCGGAGATGAAACCCTAACACAACAGAAAGTAGCTCGCCTATTTCTTGAGAAATTCACTAATTCACCGCCCATATCTCAAAGAACAATAAGCAAAATAGACAAGCAGTTTCTCGAGTGGTTTCTCGATAAATTTTATTTATTTTTGACACTCATTTGTATTTCTTTTTAATCGTATTATCAAACAGCATTTTGAAAACAATGTAAGTTAAATTTAATAAAGGCACCTATAAACTATTTTATAAATATTAATGTTTGACAAAATAATACATATTTCTCTACTTATTGCATTTTAAGGACATGTCTCTATATTCATTTTGAGTAGTTTATATGCCTTTTGATATTTGCAATTCCAAATTGTAGGTGCTATAAATGTTTTCTGGTCTGTTGCCTTAACGTCAAATATAAAAGTTGAACTTCAACATGTGAGTGTGTGTCAATTTGTTTATAAACATCTTATGGATGGTTCTTGTTAAGTACTTCTTTTTTTAGGTATTGACGATGGTGGTCTAGAAGCGAAAGATCTCGAATTCGAAATGTTAGACAAGCGACTGCTGAAACTTGAAACAGTGAGAGAATCACTGAAAGCTTTGTTGAATTTCTCATTTTTTTTTTCTTTTCAGATGATGGATGAGTCTCATAAGAACGATGTTTCCAAGAATGATTTGAATAATGTATATAAAGATATGGGATCTATATCGGAAGACATAACTAGTTTAAAGAATAAAATTAGTGATGTGGTAGGTAGCTGGAAATACACAAAAATCATCAATTAGTATCTATGAATTATAGTAATTTGTTCTTCGAAACAATCTGAGTGCCAAGCAGAAAGTATAAAATCCTCATAAATTAATCAGATTTCCAGATTGATAAAGTTTTTTTTTAGTAGCATAGGAGTGATGGGGAATGTTCCTCAATTTGGGTTATTACAGCAAATGCAAGTTTGAACAGAATAAAGCTGAGTTTAATTCATGAGTTTTTCAAATTCACTTCGAAAAGTATTCAAATTTATGTTTCAAATGTTGGGTTTTATCAGAAGTCCATAAATCTTCTTGCCATCCAGATGTTCAATTTTTGTTTGGCAAAGCCTAAAGCAATGCCAATGACAGGTTCTGGTCCGATGAAGCTGCTTGCAGCACCCTCCTTTTCAAGGGAGTCAACAGTCTCATTGCCTTCCAAGGCAGTATGGCCAGGAATCCAGACCAGAGACAATGTTACATCTTCCTATCTAGGAGAGACAGTCTCATAGGTTCCTAGGCAGGTTGATATCTCTGCCGTGGGTCCGCGACTGAAAACAACTGCACCAGAACCGGAAGGTGTTTTGATCCATCTGTGAACCAACAACTATTTGCTCTCAATATTTCCTTCTCCCGGGGGATCCAATCCTCTCTCCTCGGAAACAGTACTTTATAAGGCAGTTCGTAGTTGACAGCTGAAGACATAAAGTCAGAGGTCATTTCCAGAATGCTGTGACTTTCAGTATCAACTAACAATCTGTTGCACTCTGCATTAAATTGATTTGTGCAATTGGTAATGTGCACAAGTCTATATGCGGTCCATCTAGCCTATCTCTCTCCAGAAAAATGTGGAGAGGAGGTACATCTAGAAGAATCTCCATGGCCGCTGACGGTGTGGTACTTATAGCACCACTGATGGCCAGACAAGCGTGTTTCTGTAAACCAGAGAGCTTCACCTGGGTCGTTTTCTATAAAGCCTTCGGCCACCAGGCAATTGCACCATTAGTGATCATTAGTTTGACAATAATCAGATAAATCCAATGGCTTTGTTTGGGAACCAAATCCTAAGTTTCACCACAAATCCTTCGACATATTCATAGGGGCAGCCTGGCTTTTTGTAAAACATTTTCCAAGTGAGCGTTCCAGGTGAGTTTTTTATCAAGGACAATGCTAAGATATTTCACCTCCGTTCCAAATGGAATGACTTCACCGTTGAGATAACTGCTGAAGTGTAACTAAAGGGAAACTGAAAAGTTAACCCTTTACAATATTCCCTTTTGCACAGGAACAACAGAACAGTATATCTTGTTTTTAAAAAGAGTTTGTTCGTCATATTATCGGGTTTAGTTTGTGTTGGTAGTTCTAAAAGTTGTTTTTACATTATATCTGCAGTGTAACACACTATTACCTTATCAAATGCCCCAAAAGCTTTCAAACAGTGGAGACGGAAGTGAGTATAAAGAAAGACGACATAGGTTTAAAAATTGGGTAATCGTTTAATGATGAAAGTGGTGGAAAAGAGAGCATCGGCAGAGGTTAATTCATTTTCAAGGGAAAATAAATTATATAAACATGAAGGATTTTCTCACAATGATATCCTTGTTTTCTCATTCATTTGGTAAGTGTTATTCCCTTAAGTTTTACAGTTGTTGAAAGGTAGCTAAGGAAAGGCTTAAAAATTCCAACACAAACACAATAAACTGATGAAATTGGCATTTCACTCTGTCCATCTAAGCAACGGAGTGCTCCAAAACAGTATCATGCCTAGTGCACGGGATCTCCCAGACTATTCTATTTTATTTCGTTTATAATATGCGGCTGGGGATAGGAAATTCTTTAGGTGGAGTGTGTAGGGACACAAATTAGTAGTTTCTTCTTCAAAAATTTTAAAATTCAAAATACCGTATATATACACACCACAGGCGTTAAAACGTAACTCAGAACTCCGACTCGGTAGCGATATACCTACATGAATTCCGCCAGCCGATTTACCCAATAGATGTTAATGTGCGTAGTGATCATGATTTGATCACGCCTCTATCATTGTTTGGGTTACTTTGTTGGATGGATAGAGTTTAGTAAAATTAATTTGTAGCTACTGTAGCAGTGTTACTTCTGTGATATGTGATAATAAGGAACAATATTACCTCGATCAAGAAATACGGCTTACGATCCGTTCTTATGTCGTTTTCAACTATGGTGAGCCATCTAGGATTCCAAGAAGCGGAAATTCGCCAAGCGCTTTTCTCAAAGTCGGAGAGATCTTGAGGGTTTTATCAGTTAGCAACGAACAGATTCAGTTTTACTGGCCTTTGAGATGTCTGAGTTCTTCGAAAAGGTAGACTTCAATTAGAAAGTTTCGAGTAATTCCAACATAAATCCTACGACAGTGGATAATTGATTACCTCCCTTGAGATAAATCTATTTTCGATTCAGGAATACTTTGAAACATTCTTTCAAATCCGCAGAATCGCGATGTTCTTCTCGTGTCTGGCTCAAAAACAAAAAAAGAAGGAAGAGACGGTTTCATTTTGAAGTCTCAAAATGTCGAATGACATAAACGGTCATAAAAGACTGATGAATTATTCGGAAAAAACGGTATCTTACAAATAAACTTTGTGAATATGCCAAATCCATCTGAGATAGAACGACTCGTTTTACTTCCTGACATATACAGGGCCATACTATATCATAGAACGAAATGAAATGTCTTTGTTAAATCGTAAGTAAACTATAAATTATATAAAATGTTAGACACGTCCTTTCTTATTATTGAATCTACTGGAGGTTCACTAAAAATTGAACCATTTCACAGATCTTTGAGGTAACGATTTTAAAACCGTAACAACACTCAAGATGAAGACACCTCTGTATTTTAGTCATTTTTGAAAGCGAAACAAAATAACGATATTTGCTACTATCGCAGGAACACGATAGGCTGGGTTTGAGGATGTCACTCGGGCAAAGTCTTGCGAAAAGTGCGACCCATGAAGGTCAAAAATAACTAAGTGTGTCACCCTGTATAATCAGACAAACCAGGAACATAAAATGTCTTTCAAAGAAATCTGTTTGAAAATTCATTTCGTTCATTATGAAATGTCTGTTAGTTTAGGAGTTTATGACGATCAGTCATACAGATTAGCACAGCTGGAACTTTAATTCATAATACGTAGTGATGGAGGAATTTTCTTATATATCCGACTTAATGAATATTAGCCTTTATCTATTATAATATAGGGTGGACACTCATTCATTCGTTACAATGTTAATTCTATTTGTCACCAAACATTTCGAAGAGAATTCATGTCTAAGATTTCATTTCGAAGAGAATTTGATTTCAAATATTACGTTCTTGAATATACGGGTCTGAAACTAGTGAATTAATGAATTCAAAGATGATGAGATGACAAAAATTTGTCTAATGCAAATGATTCTATTTCAACTCATTCTGATTATTCATTTTCCAGGAAAACTATAAGAGGGATATGTACGTCTTCAAAAACAAACTAAACAGAATCGAGAAAAAGGCCGAACAAGTGGATGAACTCATCATTAAATATGACCGAATTAAAAAATGTGCTTTTTATAATAAAATTTGTATGTGAGATGTTGTGACTGATAATTTAAGAATCTGTGCATATGTAAATCTAAGATTACTTTAAGGAGTCAGTATTTTGTATTTTGTGGAAATGCACTGCCACTGCCATTGTAATTTTTTACTTATTTATAATAAAAACAAACTACAAATATATGACTTATCGATTATGATAAGATTTTTCAGTTAAATAGCGTATATCTTTCTAAGGAGACTGCAAATCCCATGCTGAAATTTTAGGGGGTCATCTGATAAATTTGAAAATGTATTGATATCACTGGTAGGTAAACACACAGTTTGATGCCGGAAATTTTTTTACTGTTTCTAGGTAATTTAGGTCTGCTGAATTCAAAAATGCCACCAGATTTGCTCCATCAGATCGTTTCCAGAAAATACCACAAGAGANGTAGGCTGCTAAATATTGGAATGGGTATCTGCTCAAGCTGATGTGGAATTGGTCTTATTGCTGAATCCAGGTTAGGATATGTCCACGTATGTCGATTGTTACGATTAATGCCTTTTATATTCACAAGACAGAAATAGCAATCGTCAAAATGATTTTTTGGTTCCCTTCATACCATTGAAACGCCAAACTTTAAACATTTTCGTTGTCCTTTCGTCCACTGTCGCAAATTTTCAAGACAAGTTATGCACACTACATGTAGAGCCCAGGATTCATCTTGATCTCCTAAATGAACACCAAAATAGGCTTGATATGCCCTTTTTATAAAATCACAAACTGGTTTTCTACTTTCCTTAACAATGTTCTCGCCACATATGTAGCAAAAACCTTCGGGTCATTCACACAACAATAGAATGCAGTCGACTTTATAGGAATGTATTAAGGCAATTTCAGAGAAAATACTATTTACTTATCGGACAATAGGTAAGAAGCAATTAGCGCTAATTTCATGTTATGGACATTTCCAATAAGTACACTTCAATTAGAAGTCATTAGTACGTGTCTTAGAATTTGTAAAGTTTCTTTATAAACATATTGCAATTATAGTGATGGATTATACAGAAATCTAAGAATATTTAAGTATGTCATAAGTATGTTATATCTCGAAAACTAGAGCTAATACAAAGAAAAGGTTTGTATTTTTGGAATCAGCACAAATGAATTAACCAAAATCAGTTGATTTTTTTCGGCAGCAAAACAAACGTTTTTTTTTGGTAGGCTGTGATATTCACAGTCCTGAAACAGAAAATGTGTTTCAGCGTTTAAGCTGTCGCTTAACTCAAATGATTTTCAAAAGTTGCAAATACTTGTATATTCAACTTTAATCATTTGTGAATGAAATTAAATCACGCCAGCCTGCTTGAAGAAAGCGCCAAAATGAGGCAAGAAATCATCGTGTACATATAGTAGTTGTTTCGAGAGGGCTTTTTTTTCTAGTTTGTGTCTGAAAGTTACTTCTTTGCATTATGTACACATCTTTGTAAGAAGTTTATTTTGAAATTAATTGCTTTCTTCCTTTCTTTAGGAGATTTCCACATTTCTTTGTATAAAGATGGTGAAGTAGAAAGCCAAAAGCTTTCTTTTCCAAAAATTATTCTCTCCTGAGAATATATCCCTCTCAATTTAAAAAAATTAATAATCTGAGAGATTCAATCGTAGATCTAGTTCGAATGCTCATAGATAGAAGTAACTTTTGCCATTGTATCAAAAGAAGTATGTACTAACAATTACGAGCCCCATCATGAGGGTTTTAATGAACTTCATCTGATACAGTCATCACAGCTGACGTGCAATAAATAAATCAATCTACAAAAACGTACAGGTATATCTGAAAATTGCACACGAAACAAAATTTCTGGTGATATCGAGTCTGATAAATTTACTAGTTAATACCATATAATCCGGTCAATCTAGACATTGGAAGACTATAGCTATAATCAGTTACACTAGCGTACAAAGTAAGGGACTGGATTTCATTCTACCTGATATTCTTATATTTATATTTACCAATTGAAAAATATTTTTACTTGAATTACAACTTCAGAGATGTATATACGTGGCATACTTATGCATATAATGACGATTACAACTTTTACATCTTTTTGACTCGTCGTATCTCAAAAACGGTGGCTCTAAGAAAAAAAAGTATTGATACATTTTTTGTAGAGAATTTCATGATCTACAATTTTTATCTGAGATTATTTTATGATAAAAATCGCGAAAAACCGATTTCTTTCGAGATTTTTCACCTTTGACCTCGAATAAATTTTTTTTGAGGCATCACAATCATTCGAAATTTCAAATTCTTATTTTTATCTATGTTTTGAACAATGACACGCATTTGCAGCTTGTTGTAAATTTATGTACCTTCACTCTTATTTTTTAGTCTAATTTGACAGGACTAATATAAAACCTCCCACATAAAAATACTGATTAGAACTGGTATGAGGTGCACGCCGCCCAAAGAAACTGCCGACGTTCGGTAACCATTTAGTGTTTACGCCATTCGAATTGACTTCCTATATACTATACGAAGCAGATGAAAATGGGAATTTCACAGAGGCAAGACGACTTTGGATGTATGACGCTCTTCCACGGCAAGACTCAAACAGTCTTTGAAACGAAAGTCACTAGGTCATCTATTCGATGTTGTGAAATCAAACTCTTGAGGTAGGTTACTTTCTTATCAAGTTGTAGCGGATAATGAACTACAAACCTCATTATTGGCCAGAAGGTGTTCTTGTTGAACGTTTCAAATTTTGGAGATATGTTCAAATCTCGGATAGTTGTGGACAGCGACCGTCTTGACGAAATGAGGTCTCTTCNGGAAATAATAAAAAATTATTATAATTATTATTACCAAATTGAAATAGTAGTACATATAGAAAGCCCACATATTCTTTCTGTCTCTGAATCATGGTGTTCGAAACTAAATTTAAATAAAATTCATTAACCTAATTATATATCAGCAGCACATTTCATCCAACAAAGTCAATTCATGGTGGCGTGTCGAAATTATGAATTCAAAACAGTGTATAGTTACAAGATATCGACCTCCAAATGGATCCTTAGAAATATTCATCTGGATATTCTCATTCTACTCTTACTTTTCCCAACGACGAAAAGGCCGTGGACTTTCAATCTTAGGGTGTCTACACAGCAGAATTGTCTCTATCCAAAGCCTGTAAAGTCATCAGAAGTTCATATTCCCTTCTCATCTTAGTCCGCGATCATGTGAGACCAGTTATTGTAGCGTTTCTCTTTGAGGCAGCTGCCTAAGCGGCTGATGACTTCACTCCTGCGACAAAACGAGGGTAAGCCGACCTTTTTCAACATCATTGAAGACCATGGCTTATCAAAGCACCTGAACTTTGATTTCCTCAGATCTAGTGGGAAACTAGATCTGCTAGAATAGTGTCTCAAACAACTTAGTCTACCGTAGACGTGTGATAGGCATAGAAGTTCCTGAGACCAAGTACAGGGTTTGCCCTGAGGCGCCTTTATTCAAGAACAAAACACAAGAACTACTGGAAAATCCTTGAGGCACTCTAAGAGTGGTGCTTGTGCGAAAGTAGCGACGATTCACATTGGATTTGAATCGCAGGATATTAAATCCATTTGGAAAAACATGTCCAGGAAGTATATTCCACATAAACGCAGTTCTCCAAATGAAAGAGTTCTTAAACAGTGAAGTTCGAAGGGTACTGAATTAAACCTCAAAACGATAAGCACCCACAGTCCGTCGCGTATTTTTGATATGTACCGCTCGTTAAATCAAATGTGCCAAGTCACTTGAACACTTCCCTTGAAAGTATATATGGAAGAGAGACAAATCTCCAACCTTTCTTTGGTGTTCCAGACTATCAAGGTTGCAAGTGATGTTCGCGTCACCAATCTGGATGGAATCCAGCAGCTTAAGAGTATGCTCAGCGGAACTCCATACATGAGAACAACACTCCAAAGAAGGTCTGATCTGAGCTTTAAAAGCATCAGAAATTGCTAAGGTGTGTATAGTTTCCTGGTTCGGAACATTGTTCCAAATTGAACGGAACTGGCCAATACTTGATATAAATCCATATTAAAACTCATTAATACACTTTTTCTATGATTTTCAATATAAAGGGTTTTACAAAAACCGCTACACGTATTTCGCTATAAAATAGCGTTCTCAAGCGCAGCGCCGTATTAAGGCATGGGCCACCTGGGCCCGGGCCCAGGGCCCCGAGGTCCTGAGGGGCCCCCAAAAGTTCGTGTGAATGACAAAATGTTTCTCAGAAAAACATCATTGAAATTTTTGAAATTATAATTTATTGAAATTAAATTAAAATTATTGAAATTCTAACAAAAGTTATAATTTCTTCCGNCTTTTTTTAAAAATCTTACTTTTTATATTCAAAAACGGCTCTGTTAAGTTTTCGTTGTAACACACTTTATAAATATGAATGATTTTCTCACAATGATATCTTCGTTTTTTCATTTATTTGGTAAGTGTTATTCCCTCTAGTTTCACAGTTGTTGAAAGGTAGCTTAGGAAAGGTTTCAAAATTCCAACACAAACACAATAAACTGATAAAATTGACATTTCACTCTGTCCATCTAAGCAACGGAGTGATCCAAAACAGTATCATGCATAGTGCACGGGATCTCCCAGTCTATTCTATTTTATTTCTTTTATAATATGCGGCTGGGGATAGGAAATTCTTTAGGTGGAGTGTGTAGGGACACAAATAAGTAGTTTCTTCTTCAAAAATTTTAAAATTCAAAATACCGTATATATACACACCACAGGCGTTAAAACGTAACTCAGATCTCCGACTCGGTAGCGATATACCTACATGAATTCCGCCAGCCGATTTACCCAATAGATGTTAATGTGCGTAGTGTTCATGCTTTGATCACGCCTCTATCATTGTTTGGGTTACTTTGTTGGATGGACAGAGTTTAGTAAAATTAATTTGTAGCTACTGTAGCAGTGTTACTTCTGTGATATGTGATAATAAGAAACAATATTACCTCGATCAAGAAATACGGCTTACGATCCGTTCTTATGTCGTTTTCAACTATGGTGAGCCATCTAGGAGAGATCTTGAGAGTTTTCTCAGTTAGCAACGAAAAGATTCAGTTTTACTGGCCTTTGAGATGTCTGAGTTCTTCGAAAAGGTAGACTTCAATTAGAAAGTTTCGAGTAATTCCA